CATCCAAAATGAATTTCAGCGTTCACTAAAATTCATTAATCAAATAAAAGGACTTCGCTCAGACTAAAACCTCGTGTTAGTCGAATGCGTGCGACGCACATGACTTGGCCCTGACTTGGCGACAGCCCCACGCGCCAACCGACGTGACACGGTCACGTGCTGATCGATTGCCGGCGGACAAAGGTCATTCACACACGCACGCACACGCGCATGGGCGCACTCGAGGCACTTGCGTGGGGGCCATCAGCCTCGACGACTGGTGCTCGACACGCCGAAACAATTGCTGGTCCTTACTCCTTGGCGCAGATGGTGGTGGGTCCTGACAGACAGGTGCTCCTCGTAGGCACCAAATAATTGATCTATGTGGTCACCTCTGTGGCCAATCGGAAAGGATGGCGAAGGTGAGTCGTTGTTGTTATCGACCTTGAACGAAGTTCTCCCATGTCTGCGGGTGGACTTTCAGGCACATCAGAAGGACGCCTGATGTTTGTGGATAAAGGGGCTAGTGAACACCATCAAGTCTATTCCATTCAGGAGTTGGCCAAACGAAACTATCTTGCCACAGCAAATGTTCTCCGACTAACACTATGTCGCCATTCTTGGGATATTTCGCCCGGTTTTTTGAGTGTCACGGTCCAAGAGTTGAGTGTTGATTTAATTCAGGTCTGAGAACCGCCCCCACATCAAAAGATGGTTTTCGTGTCATCCAGCTTGACAGAATGTGTGTAGGTCTGACCCTCATGTCTTTCTCTTCTTCTCCATGGTACGGCTGCGATCATGCCTGATCTAGTCGGCATCATCGAGGCCTTCTCTGCTTGTCAGTCGCTCTTATATAACGTCATTCGTTCTTTCGCCTGTGTTAGAGAGAGAACGACAGAGCGAGCGCGATAGATCTCATTTTGTAAGTGTCATTCCAAAATTTTCAGCAAATTGGCTCCCATCCACAGTGGATAAAAATGGGGCATGCAAAGCAGATACAGCTCGTGACCGGTCTCATGAAATGTTGGTCGAAATTCTGAATGGAGATTTCGGTTACGAAGGATTACTTAAGTGGGGTTGTAACATTGATTATCATACGGCATAAAGCTGTAGTATTTCGGACTCGTCAGGATGTCGCCTTTTGAATGCACTCATTTTCGACCTCATGCAGAAACCACATTCGGTAAAAACCAACTACTTATTTAGCATGCATTTTTCACATTAATTTTCGTCTGTCCCCATAAATTCAAATATATTTTGTAGACGAAATGCACAAAAATATGCATCATTTACACGTTTGGTCGGTAACCACATTGTGCTCACATTTTATACCCGAAAGTGTGTATTTTAGTTTTGAAAATGTTTCCCAATTCCCGAATCATTTCGAGCCTGATCTGCCACTGCATTGGCGCTTAGCGATTGCAGTCTACAAGGTGTACGCTTTCCGTGTAAGGAAAATCACATACTCCTCTATGCCTTTAAGAAGATACTATATGGATTTCATGAAATTCTGCAATGGATGTGGACTATGTTGTACATTTCATGAGGAGCACTGGAAAACTGGTATGTGCCATGCTGTATGTATGGACATCGCACGGTCTTAGAAATCTCGTACTTCAAATGTTTGGTAAAATCGAAGGATAAATTTGCTTGGGGTATAAAATGTAAAGAGTAAGTGACTTTCTACCAAACGCGTAAAAGGAAGATTATTTTGTGCGTTTTATATATAATATATTAGGTCCGCGATAATTGATGTGAAAAATTCATACTAAATAAGTAGTCATCTATCAATGAGCGTAGTTTCTTCTGAAGACTGAAAAGAAGTGCTTTCAAAAGACGACCTTCCGGCGAGTCCAAAGCACAATAGCGTTATGCCGAATGATAATCAATTTTTGTGCCTTTTCTATACAATGTATTTAAATTTATTTTGTCAGCGAAAATTAATGTGAAAAATTCATGGTAAATAAGTAGTCATTTTTCAACCAGCGTGGTGTCTTCAGAAGATTGAAAAGAAGAGCATTCCAAACTAAAATAAAACTCCCACACTTAAATGTGCCATGACGAACTAGGAGTGGTAGCTTGACGGGGCACCTCGGTACTTCCCAGAACGGAAGGTCAGGCTGAAAGGGCTGTTTCTTGATGTGTCCTTTCAGGTTTTCACAGTAGTCAGTAGTTTGGTTGCATTCACCGCGCTGTGTGCGTGTGTGTGAGTACAGGTAATCAAATCATGAGGCCAGGCAACTGGCCATTTGACAGTGTCCACAATATGCGCATTCTAGAACAAATAAGCAAATGCGCCACCAGCAGAGTGAGCCACTCAAAATGTGACTGACCGTCCATATTCAACTCCGATGCTGCTCGGATGGCTGACAGGGCGCCCTCTGACCAGCCGATGCAGGAGAAGGGCAGATGACCCAGCTGGCGCATCAAATTCACGCCAACTCTGGCATCCTGCAGCAGAACCTCGGGATCACTCCAATCGCGGGTGGGGGGAGTGCTGAAACCGCAGCCCGGCGGATCAAAGGCTATCGCGGTAAACCTAAAGGGAGGAGGGGGGGAAGGCGGACAGAAGTACATTTGAGAGGTGGTGATTGTTCATCACAGACGGTACGACTACTCTACACATGTGTTTGTGTGTCCTCCAAACGAGCCACGCGTTAGATGCGCTGGACCAACACGGGAGCCATATTGGATTCTGGCAGGCGTTATCGGATCGCACACTATAACAAATGCCAACACTTTCGGGGTGCGTTGGCAGACCCTGTTGTCGGCAGTCGTCGCATAACTGGACCACTGCCGTCACCCCATTGTTTTGTGGTCAAAATCCTGGTCATTTGTTTTGTGGAGCTGGGGGTGCGGAGTGAAGCGCCAAGGTGAGGATCCGTCCAAGACATCCACCTGCGGCCTCCATCGTCTCCGGTCTTCTTCACTTCGTCTTGACACCGGGCTCAGGTGGGGGAGGAGGAGAGAGTGTAGGTAGATGCTACGGAAGTCTACTGGCACTATAAACCCCTGCGCAAGTCACCGTCCCTGCTCCCACCGCTGCTGCAGCTGTGGGGCACGCGGTGGACATCGTCCAAATCGACGGTCGAACTGTCGTGTGTGTGTGTGTGTGACTGCTAATTACTTGCTAACCGACACCAATGCATGCACCCTATGTCTATATTAATCAAAGATAATGGCAGATTGCTTAGAAATATGGATTTGTTGAGAAAAGCAGAAAATTCCGAAAAAGTCAAAAATGATTGCAATCGTGTAAAATCCAGTTCTAGATATACGGAATGTCTGTTCATACAGAAAACGAGTATATTAAGCAGTACTTGAAGACTGACTTCTGAAAGTGGTCTTTTAGCTAATTTTACATTTAAATTTCCTTTAAGAGGATTTCGCTTGAATTCGCCAACGGGGATGCCATGGGAATAAAAGTTCTCATAAGAGCACATGTTGCCAGGACTTTTCTTTCGTAAAACTAATGTGGACGTCTTGTTTGTTCTAGATTACACTGAATTTCAGATCAGCCTTGAGACATCGCTGCATACCTTGAGATTTTCAGTGTTCTGCATGGATTGCATATAAACACAGACTCTCTGTTATGTGTTCACACGCTTTTGATCACTCAGAACACTGATATTTTGCCGATGATTTTCTCCTTCCATTTCTTAATTACGTATGCGCAGAAACTAGACCGCGCGACAATCAATATTTCATATGTTCCAAACTGAACATGACTATTCGGTGAGAGTCGTTTTGGTGTCAAAACATGGAGTTCACCAAATGACAAAACATGTCAGCCCTTTTAAACAAGGAATTCCCCCTATGCATCATTACTGCACTTTAGGGGACGAAAACGCACGGACCTGCTAATCTGACCTTTAACAATCGATAAAACACTTGACTCTCTAAAATAACGCCTGTGACAGCAAACTGATTCTCATAGCTAGAATCAGACAAAAAATCACTTTTCAACTGTGACAACCTCTTTCTCTAGTAAAACTCTCCAGGGTAAATTAATTCCCTTTGAAAGAATAGACGTTGTCTGCAAGATCCCATGTGCCAGTTTTGATGCCGTCTGTTGATGCCGAACTGGGAAATCTGTCTGAAACCCTGTAGATGAACGTCAGTTAGCGGTGATGAGGAGAGGGGGACCATCTTGCCCTTGGGAGAACACTCTTCTAGTTTTCATCCATCTACCAATATGGCTACGCCGTGAATCCCTGGAAGTAATTCCATCAACTGTGCCCTGCATCAATCGGCATCTCGGTTTAGATGCCACTCACAAATTCCTCAGGGACAAATGAAAGCCAGTGTAGCCAATGTCGAGGGCATGAAGAAATGCTATTGACGTGCAATGGCGCAAGCTTCAGCCAACTGCAGAATCACTTCTTCAACAGGGTTAAAGGGTGAACTGTTTTTGTGTGTGTCCCGTAAGTCTGACAATGAGCTGGGGAACCTGTATCAAAAATGTGCGCGCAATAAGGGTTATTGTGTGCCCGGATAATCTGGCCTACTGTAAACGAAGATGTTCTCATAGGCCACGTGCAGTCATCACAGACGTTGACGTTCCTCCTTCCTTGCGTGTGTATATGTTCAAGCTGAAGAAGACATTTGAGGAAACAACAAACTTTGTTTCGGATATTTTAAAACTTATTGCCCTAGGTCGCCGTTGTCGTCGTCGCCGTCAGACGTACAACTGGCGGGCGAGTCCGCAAAATTTTAAAACGTGACGTCCGAGAGAACCTCTCCAGAATACACGCATGCATGAATTACAGTAGGTGGACTAACTGATGAAATGTCAACGGCAATTTCGAAATGCTTTTTCGTTTCGAAAAGATTAATTAATTAGGGTTGTAAAACTAGTTAGTCTGCAACCTGATAGTTCAGTCACCTCAGGATGCCGACTTTCGAATGAACTTCCATCCGGCTGCATGCAAAAACTGCACTCTGTAAAAAATGACTACTTACTTAGCATAAAATTTTCTCATCGACTTTCGATGCCCCGAATTGTCCAATTGTATTTCATGGAAAACATGCACAAAAGTGTTCATTCTTCTGCACATTCGGTAGATAATTACGCCTTCTTCTAATTTTATGCTCGAGGGATAGGTATAATTCGATTTTCAACGATATTAAACGTCCAACAATTAGAAACATTTTTAAAGCCGAATTATACCCTTCCTTCGAGCATAAATTTAGTAGATTTGTGTCCCATATCCAGAGCATGTATGGATAATCGTGACAGATGGTCTCCCTTCCGTATCCTCCATTGATGATCATAACTGTGTGTGTAGTGGCAGATTTGCTAGTTTCGTCACAACACCCTGCATTGCAGACACCACAATGACTGTTGTATACGAATATTCACGCTTACCAAACTGGTCTACCCAATCTTGAGTGTGAACCAACAGCGTACATAGTGTAGTCGTCGGCTACTGGGTCACATCTATATGATGTATCCTAGTGCCACTTTCTACACCTATCTCCGTCTATATCTACACCAGTTGGTCAAAACACAGAGTGCCAAGCAGCCCCAGGGAACGTACTCGTTTATGTTCAGACGCCGTAGGAAGTCCATGTAATCAGTCCTGATGGAGCCGAATGGACCGGGAAATAGGAGGATATTGTCGGCTCCTCGGCCATGACGAAGATAGTGGATCTGCATGGAAAGAACCTCCTCGTAGGCACCAAATATGTGGTTGCTGTTGTCATCCCTGAGGTTAATTGGAGAGGAGGGAGGAGATGCGACATTGCTGAAACTGCCGACGAAAGGACGCAGTAGTCGGCCACAGACGAGCAGTCCTCTGCGTCCAATAATACGATTGAGCATAAACATGCAATTTCTACAATGATTCAAAGAGAAGAAAATGTAGTTAGCTGTTGTAAAGTGCAAACCACCGACACATAAGTCACTAGTGCACGATAAATGTAGATATATGTGTGCAATTTACTCAGAATGACGGGAGGCATCGGTCTGTAATACTACTTAAATATGATGACAATATCAGTAAAGACATGCCCGTGATTTGCCATACTTCCTTCCATGCAGGACGCAGCGCATAGCCTTGCACACCAAATGCGGTGAGATGGATGCAAGGAGGAGTGTCACGTCGAAGAACATTATCGCCTCCGGGAAGCACCATTTTGGCTAGCGGGAATTAGTGAGGAGTGGAGATGTCGATTTTACTGACGTCCCAGATGAACCTCAAAGAAGATGTGGGGTTTGTGAGTCATCCGGCTGACTGGGCTGCCGCCGAGGGCTACGATCAGTCGAGGTGAAAGGTGGGATTTGTGGATTTGGGGTAATCCCTAGCATCTACCTGACGCCCTGCCGTTTGTTTCTATTTAATGCCATTCGTCCAACCCATACCTGCACTGAGTCAGAAGAAGACCGTTTAACTGACTGATTACTAACCTGTCCTGCGACGGTGGCGGTGGCTGTAGCGGAGATGTTGTGTGGTAGGACAATCAGCGGTTGAGGCGAACTTGTGTGCCTGTGGCAGTCCGTTCTCCTAATCGTCAGTCTGGTTATGCCCTCATGACGCCTTCTGTCAGCCTAAATATCACCTACCAATGGGATGCTGTTTGCAACACACGTGACTCGGCCACGTCGTGGAGACAGCTCGACGCTAATCGACGATGTGTCATTTTCTGGTCGGGATTGTAGGCGGACAAAGGTCGTGTGTGCACGCACGCACGCACCGCCCTCGGCTTGGCGCTCAGGTGAACGGATGTCGTGATGTGAGGCCGGCGATACCATACCACCACATCCCTTTATGGCATTCCCACCACAGTGTGGGATCCGAGCCAGGCGTTGGCGGCACGCCTAGGTGTGGTTTCGTCCGTGCCAGCCTCCAAATCTCTGTTGTTGGTTGAAATCCTGGTTATTGTTGTGTGGACCAGGGGGTGTGGTGGAACGCCAAGGTGAGGATCCGTCCGAGCCACCCACCTGCGGCCTCCCTCGTCTCCGGTCTTCTTGACTCTGTCTTGACACCGGGGCCAGGCGGGGGAGGAGGTGAGAGTGTAGGTAGATGCTACGCAAGTCTACTGGCACTATATACCCCTGCGTAAGTCACCGTCCCTGCTCCAACCTGCTGTGGGGCACACGGTGGACATCATCGAAATCGATGGTCGAACTGTCAGTCAACGCCCACTCCGTCCCGCTCCCCCCCCTGTCGGTACTCCGTCATCAACTCCGGTCTGGCCAACCAAAATGCAGCTGACCGTCAATATTCAACTCCGATGCTGCCCCGGATGGCTGACTGAGCGCCCCCTGAACGGCACATGCAGGAGAAGGGCAGATAACCCAGCTGGAGCATCAAGTCCACGCCAACTCTGGCATCCTACAGTAGGATCTGCGGATAATTACCATCGCGGGCGGGGGAATGCTGAAACCGCAGCCCGGCGGATCCAAGCCTATCAGCGTAAACATAGGTGGGGAGGGGGGGGGGACGGGTGGGGGGTCGTCCTGTGGTAACCATCTATAGACTAACTCCCTGGCGTAGGATATTTGCAGTAGTATAGCGAGCAGACCAGCCCCTAGTACAACCTGCTAATATTCCCACATTCAAAACTCTCCCTTGTGTTCACCACCAAGGCCTAATGAATGCATGTTGCCCAGGCTGACTTCAAACACATCCCTCGGGAGTGACCTTCAGTGGCGCTACTGATTCGTTCTGACAGTGCTTGGTTTGCCGGCTACGCGACTGAAAGCGACTTTGCGCCTTCGAGAGGTGGAGTGATGCAAGGTGTCGAAATATACAAAAGACTGCTAATTACTCGCTAACCGACACCAATGCATGCACCCTGTGTCAATATTAATCAAAGATAATGGTAGATTGCTTAGAAATATAATTCTTTGAGAAAAGCAGAAAATTCCGAAAAAGTCAAAGATGGTTGCAATCGTGTAAAATCCAGTTCTAGATATACGGAATGTCTGTTCATACAGAAAACGAGTATATTAAGCAGTACTTGAAGACTGACGTCTGAAAGTGGTCTTTTAGCAAATTTCACATTTAAATATTCTTTTAGAGGATTTCACTTGATTTCGCCAACGGGCATGCCATGGGAATAACAGTTTTCATAAGAGCACATGTTGCCAGGACTTTTCTTCCGTAAAACTAATTCGGACGTCTTGTTTGTTCTAGATTACACTGAATTTCAGATCAGCCTTGAGACATCCCTGCATACCTTGAAATGTGCAGTGTACTGCATGGATTGCATATAAAGACAAACTCTGCGTTATGTGTTTACATGCTTTCGATAACTCAGAACACTGATATTTTGCCGATGATTTTCTCCTTCCATTTCTAAATTACGCATGCGCAGAAACTAGACCGCGCGACAATCAATATTTCATATGTTCCAAACTGAACATGACTATTCGGTGAGAGTCGTTTTGGTGTCAAAACATGGAGTTCATCAAATGACAAAACAATGTCGGCCCTTTTAAACAACCAATTCCCCCTATGCATCATTACTGCACTTTAGGGGACGAAAACGCACAGACCTGCTAATCTGACCTTTAACAATCGATAAAACACTTGACTCTCTAAAATAACGCCTGTGACAGCAAACTGATTCCCATAGCTAGAATCAGACAAAAAACCACTTTTCAAGTGTGACAACCTCTTTCTCTAGTAAAACTCTCCAGGGTAAATTAATTCCCTTTGAAAGAATAGACGTTGTATGCATGATCCCATGTGCCAGTTTTGATGCCGTCTATTGATGCCGAACTGGAAATCCGTCTGAAACCCTGTAGATGAGCGTCAGTTAGCGGTGATGAGGAGAGGGGGACCATCTTGCCCATGGGAGAACACTCTTATAGTTTTCATCCTTCTACCAATTAGGATGCGCTGTCAATTCCTGAAGTAATTCAATCAACTGTGCCCTGCATCAATCGGCATCTCGGTTGAGATGCCACTCACAAATTCCTCAGGGACAAATGAAAGCCAGTGTAGCCAATGTCGAGGGCATGAAGAAATGCAATTGACGCGAATGGCGCAAGCTTCAGCCAACTGCAGAATCACTTCTTCAACAGGGTTAAAGGGTGATCTGTTTTTGTGTGTGTCCCGTAAGTCTGACAATGAGCTGGGGAACCTGTATCAAAATGTGCGCGCAATAAGGGTTATTGTGTGTCCAGATAATCTGGCCTACTGTAAACGAAGATGTTCTCATAGGCCACGTGCAGTCATCACAGACGTTGACGCTCCTCCTTCCTTGCGTGTGTATATGTTCATGCTGAAGAAGTCAATTGAGGAAACAACAAACTTTGTTTCGGATATTTTAAAACTTATTGCCATAGGTCGTTGTCGTCGTCGTCATCGCCGTCAGACGTACAACTGGCGGGCGAGTCCGCTAAATTTTAAAACGTGACGTCCGAGAGAACCTCTCCAGACTACACGCATGCATGAATTACAGTAGGTGGACTAACTGATGAAATGTCAACGGGAATTTGGAAATGCGTTTTCGTTTCGAAAAGATTAATTAAGTAGGTTTGTAAAACTAGTTAGTCTGCAACATGATAGTTCAGTCACCTCAGGATGCCGACTTTCGAATGAACTTCCTTCCGGCTGCATGCAAAAACTGCACTCTGTAAAAAATGACTACTTACTTAGCATAAAATTTTCTCATTGACTTTCGATGCCCCGAATAGTCCAATTGTATTTCATGGAAAACATGCACAAAAGTATTCATTCTTCTGCTCATTCGGTGGATTATTACGCCTTCTTCTAATTTTATGCTCGAGGGAAAGGTATAATTCGATTTTCAACGATATTAAACGTCCAACAATTAGAAACTTTTTTAAAACCGAATTATACCCTTCCTTCGAGCATAAATTTAGTAGATTTGTGTCCCATATCCAGAGCATGTATGGATAATCGTGGCAGATGGTCTCCCTTCAGCATCCTTCATTGATGATCATAACTGTGTGTGTAGTGGCAGATTTGCTAGTTTCGTCACAACATCCTGCATTGCAGACACCACAATGACTGTTGTATACGAATATTCACGCTTACCAAACTGGTCTACCCAATCTTGAGGGTGTACCAACAGCGTACATAGTGTAGTCGTCGGCTACTGGGCCACTTCTATATGATGTATCCTAGTGCGACTTTCTACACCTATCTCCGTCTATATCTACACCAGTTGGTCAAAACACACAGTGCCAAGCAGCCCCAGGGAACGTACTCGTTTATGTTCAGACGCTGTAGGAAGTCCATGTAATCAGTCCTGATGGAGCCGAATGGACCGGGAAATAGGAGGATATTGTTGGCTCCTAGGCCCTGACGAAGATAGTGGATCTGGATGGAAAGAACCTCCTCGTACGCACCAAACATGTGATTGATGTTGTGATCCCCGAGGGTAATTGGAGAGGAGGGAGGAGATGAAACGCAGCTGAAACTGCCGACGAATGGACGCAGTAGTCGACCACAGACGAGCAGTCTTCTGCGTCCAATAATACGATTGAGCATAAACATGCAATTTCTACAATGATTCAGAGAGAAGAAAATGAAGTTAGATGTTGTCAATTGCAAACCATCGACACATATGTCACTGCATTACCTGGTGCAGCATTAATGTATATATATGTATGCAATTTACTCAGAATGAGGGGAGGCATCGGCCTGTAGGACTACTTAAATATGATGACAATATCAGTAAAGACATGCCCGTGATTTGCCATACTTCAATGCAGGACGCAGCGCATAGCCTTGCACAACAAATGCGGTGAGATGGATGCAAGGAGGAGTGTCACGTCGAAGAACATTATCGCCTCGTGAAGCTCCATTTTGGCTCGCGGGAATTAGTGAGGAGTGGAGATGTCGATTTTACTGGCGTCCCAGATGAACCTCAAAGAAGATGTGGGGTTTGTGAGTCATCCGGCTAACTGGGCTGCCGCCGAAGGCTGCGATTAGTCGAGGTGAAAGGTGGGACTAGTGGATTTGGGGTAATCCCTAGCATCTACCTGACGCCCTGCCGGTTGATTCTATTTAATGCCATTCGTCCAACCCATACCTGCACTGAGTCAGAAGAAGACCGTTTAACTGACTGATTACTAACCTGTCCTGCTACGGTGGCGGTGGCTGTTACGGAGATGTTGTGTGGTAGGACAATCAGCGGTTGAGGCGAACTTGTGTGCCTGTGGCAGTCCGTTCTCCTAGTCGTCAGTCTGGTTATGCCCTCATGACGCCTTCTGTCAGTCTAAGTAACACCTCCTGCTGTTTGCAGCACACGTGACTTGGCCACATCGTGGAGACGGCTTCACGCCAATCGACGTTGTGTCATTTTCTGATCGGGATTGTAGGCGGACAAAGGTCATGTGTGCACGCACACACGCACCGCCCTCGGCTTGGCGCTCAGGTGAACGGATGTCGTGATGTGAGGCCGGCGATACCATACCACCACATCCCTCCTCACCAGCATCTACTCTAAACACGACCACACTCGACACCACACGACGAAAGCACGTGGTTGGCACATCTCTCCTCGTGGGCGGCAAGTGTTTTCCTGCTCCTACTCCCTCTGGCCCCTCCGCTGCATGTGTGATCGGAGCCTGAGACTGTCAGGGTACGTTGATGATAATGATGACCCGTAAGACTGCCAACTACCGATGGAACTCAAGCCTTGCATTCAGCCCAGCGTGCGTTTGTGCGCAGTGGCAGACTGGTGGACTGAGAGTCGGGCTGCAATGCCTCCTTCTCGACGTGACCTCTGACACTTTCACACCCACACACCCACACACCCACCCACCAACACACACACATACGCATGAAATACATGTCGCCAGCCTCCCCCTCCCCATGTGTGAC